GTTTTCCTGAGAAACTATCTTGTAGATAACAATATGTAAAACAATAACCATTGATAATTTCCTACCACTTTGTCTGTAATTTGGTAAGCCCCTCCTATTATTATGTTATCCTTCTTTTACTCTTTAAAATAAAAAAAAATAAAAATAAAAAAACAAATTAAATATATGCACATATTAATTATGTTTAGTGATTTTTTTGACTTGGTACCAGTCCCAGTTGCTTAAGAGTCCGTCTAGAGACCGTTGGAAAAATGTCTCAGAATGCTGTTCATGAACATATAGTTTTATATGCCAGGTTCTTCTTCACCATTGTGAGGCACTGGACAAGTTATCTTTACCAATAAGAGTTCTACTTCAAGCTGTTCAAGTAAAGTGCCTAACATGATCTTACTAATATTACAGACCTCTAAGAGATGAAGACTTTTTCTTGTATTCTCAGATAACTTACTTAATATGATTATAGTTTATTCAATTATTATTACCAAAGTGCACTAATTGAATACCACTGAATGTTAGTTATTCTTCTAGACTTCCTGGTCTCTGAAGATGAACAAGATAAAAATAAATCTTTACTTTCATAGGTATGAATTCAAATAAGAGGAAAAGATAATAAAAATAGAATAATGGTATAAACTTACGTACGGAGCTTTGCTAAGATGGAAGGCAATGTAGGGAACTATGAGGATTAGTGGCAGAGATAACTTCCACTGCTTTAAAGCTATCACTGGGGATCTCTGTGGCACTGGAGGGCTCCAGCAGGTCACAGGAGTACTTGACCAGTTTGTAAAGCAACGAAAAGTCAGTGTTGTGCTGAATGAGTTTACAATGTTAGCCGTCACGTCGGAAAGGCAGGCACTAGACTGCAAAGACTGCATGCGGTCAGTACGCTAAATGACGCTTTCAGATTTTGTTCTAAGAATAAAACAGTGCTTATATAGCCTGATCTATTTTAAAATATAATTCTGACTGCTGAGTAAGAGTAGTCTACGGGACAGAACTGCACTGACCAAGAGAGAGGTCAATAGTAGAAATCTCCCTTCTCTCCGTCTCTGTCCCTTTCTCACTCTCTCGCTCTCTCTCTCAATTTTTCATGCACCACATTAACAGAGCAGTTTCCCATACGCGCCCTAAAAGAAGGGCTAACTTAACGTCAGGTGGCGATGTGCTAGCACCTCACTTAGTTTATATAATATCTGCCTGGGCCCATTAATCATGGCTTTCTGCTGTCCTTGTGTGTATGTGTAGTGCTGGGTGTTGAACCCAAAGCTTCCCCCAGGCAAAGCGTCCTCCACTCAGCTACGATCCCAGTCCTGAACCACAGCGTTTTTAAGGACTCGTCCATGAGGCCAGCCTCACGCTGCATTTACCCTCCATGCTTCATGGCTGGACCTTAATACAATGATTACTCACTATCCTTTGCCTGCAAGTATTTGCAATAATTCTGGGAAAATACAAAGAAATAGTATTTCATTTCTTATGCTGGTATTTAAGTCTCACAGGGAATAGTACGTATACAATTTAAGCATTTAAAATAACTTCTTAAACTGTGACTCTTAAAAATGTGTGTGATTAGTCGTTCCCAAATTGGTGTCTGGGGTTCTTCAGTCTCTCCACGCACGGCGGTGTGATGTGCAACTGTGTGTGTCATCCGGGCCTTGCAAGGCGCACCTTCTTCTGACGTGCTGAGTGACATTCAGCGGTTAGGGTTTGATCTGACATCCAGTAGGAGTGTGATGCTTGTGCGATAAACTGCTTTGTGCTATTATTTTGATATAGTAGTTTTACTCAGGTCATATGATATCTATTTTCAAGAAAAGCATATAATAATTTATGGGGCTGGGGATTTAGCTCAGTGGCACAGCACCTGCCTGGCAAGCGCAAGGTCGTGAGTTCAATTCCCAGTACCAGAAAAAAAAAAAAAATTATATGTTCATAATCTTAAAGGTTATTATATATACTTTTACTTTGCCTAAGAAAGAGAAAGAAGGACTAGGAAATAAAGAAAAGGAAAAATGTGATTTAGATATCTTAAGAATGTCAGCTTTCTGGGACTGCAACAAAATACCTGAACTAATCAGCTCAGAAGGAGGAATGTGTGTCTGCGGCCGCGGCAGCGAGGTTTCAGGCTGTTGCTGGTCGGCCTGCTGCTTTTGGTCCTCTGAGGACACGGGCAGCACGGCAAGAAGGGCGTGGGCGGCATGACTGCTCAACTCAGTGCAGCCAGGACGCCAAGACAGGGAGGAGAGCAGCGCCCCGACCCCGTCAAGGCCAGGCCCGCAGTGACCTCACCCCTCCCTGCCGCGGTCCTTCCGTCCTGAGGGTTCCCCCGCCTCCCGCAGTGCCCCATGTTCTGGGGCGGGGCTCCACAAATGGGCCTTTGGGAGACACTGCAGATCCAAACTGTAGCGAATGGCATTTTAAGGGTGAGTGCAAGTGTGTGAGCGCGTGTGCATGTGCGTGTGCATGTGTGTGTGCGTGTGCGTGTGTGTGTGTGTGTGTGTGCGTGTGTGTGTGTGTGTTTTAGGAGCTACAGACTAAGAATCCATCCTTGCAAATGAATACAAATGCACACAAATTTTTCTCTTAGCAGAGCCTTTAACATAAAGTGGATTATTTTAGTAATCAAATTTTGTGCACCATCATTTGTGTTTGATCATAGAAAAAAATGCCTTGAATGTGTATTTAGAGATTATTTCATCATGGTTCTACCTGACACCTTGTCAGAAATCGTTCACCTGAATGCCTGCTGGGGTCACTCCTCTAGCCCCTGGTCATTTGGCGTTATCCCTTTACTCCCTGTCAATTTCTTTCTTCTTTTTTTAGAATGGAGAGTAGAACCCACAGCCTTTGCACGGAGTTATACATTCTGCCTTATTTATTTACTTATTATTTACAGTCATTCATTCATTCCCTCAGTCATTCATTTTTAGGTGTAGGGATTCACTAAATTGCTGAGGTGTCCAGGCTTGGTTTGAATTTAAATCCTTCTGCTTCAACCTCCCAGAATGCTAGGGTTGCAGGCCCATACCACCACACCCAGCTCTTGTTAATCTCCTCGTGGCATACCTCTTTGCTGCTGACCTGCTTATCCATCCATTCATTGCCAGTATCCCTGCACTATCCAACTCAAGTAAGATCTTTGTGTAAGGTCCGAGACTTCTTGAAATGTTCATGATGATTCTCCCCTACTCTCCCCAACTCAAGCACTCACAGGAATCAGTTCCTCTTTTCCTAGCTCTCTATGTTATACTCGCGGTATCCTTTTATTGGGCTCTTTGGCTGTGGTTTATTTCTGTATCTGTAGGAACATGCATGTCTGTGTGGTGTCCCTGTGACATTCTCAGTGCCTGGTACAGAAGTGCTGCAGGAGTCCTGGCATTTGTTGACGGATTTTTTTTGTTGTTGTTGTTTTTGTTTTTGTTTTTGTTTTTCTCCAGTACCGGGAACCGAACTCATGACCTTGCGCTTGCCAGGCAGGCGCTTTGCCGCTGAGCTAAATCCCCAGCGCCTTTTGATGGATGTTTAAGACATTAAGAGGACAGTAGCACAATCACTGTAGAAAAGGGAGAAACAGCTTTTGGGAGTTAGATGAAGTAAAAATTTAAGATTCAAATGTGCAATTCTCATGAATTACAAGTATAGTTTTAGCAACTTCGAGCACCTTCAATTGTACTTGATGTATTGATTTTCTTCCTTTCTGGTACAAAGCAGTGTATAAATAAAAATGTTTTAGACTGCAAAAATTAGCTATGAGGTCAACTTTTATGCTTCAAGTTATATTAGTTTGAATATCTACACAGAAAAAAGAAACACAGTAGAGAGACCCCTGACATGATAGGCAGATATAAATAAATCAGCCAGTATTAACTCGATAATCTTATCTATTAGTGATCGCTAATCTTGAAATAAAAATGAACTATGGAGCTTATGCGTTAAAATGTGAATAAAGGGGAATTAGGCTTATCCAGATAGAAGTAGTAATAAGGGATTCTCTCCTTTGGTATCACTATATTAAATTGTAAAGTAAGAAAAATATTTTAAATATAAATACTATATTTTAAGTATTTCCTAAAAGGTAGAGTTATCCTGGACCTACATTATGAAGTGAATAACATGAAAAAGAAATTATTTTGTAAAAATCATAGATACACTAGACAATTATTTCTCTACTGAATCATCTTTGGCCAAGAAAATCAAAGCTGACAACTGAAAACTCTGAAGTTCCTCATGTAGGTGAGGAGTTTCCAATATGTATTTATCAAGTTCTTGCACCAAGCTTGGTGTTACAAGGCTATATTCTTTTCATGTTTATTGTATCTTTCAGGTAAAAAGAAAGGTTATTAATGAAATATACTACTGGTTATTGTTGTAAAGTGGCATTAGACAAAAATATTAAATATTCATGAAAATACTATTTCCCTTAGGTTTTGGCTAGCAAAAGATGCTGAGAGAAATAATTCACCAAAGGACCAAACTGTAATACAGCACAGATAATCACAGGAGTTATAAACAAAGCCAGTTGACATTAATAATTAAGTGAGAAAAAAATCCCTGTGGAGGTTTCTATGAGCTACAGGCACAACTGTGAAATCACTTAGCTAACTGATCTTAAATTATGTTGTAGACAAAAGGAGTATATGTTAATGTAACCAGTTCTACTCTACTTTCCTAGCCCAATAATTTGTCTAGTATAATAAATATAGCTATTATACATTCTCTGTGATGAAAAATCATCCCCATTAGAACCTGATATTTTTACTTTTTGTACAGGAATATCCAATATAAATAAATGTGATAAGGAACCCACCACTCCTCTAAAGTTTTAGTGTTATATGTTAATTGAGTTGAAATGGAAACTATTTTATTGTTGTAAGTATCCAAGCCTATCTCCACCTGACCGTTAAACTAAAGACATTTATCATGTTTTTAAGAGATTTCTGCATTGGTTTATGTTGTTCTTTATTTTCTCTGTTTTTGAAAACTGTTATCTGCCTTAACAGGGTACTCTTCATGAAGAAATATAAGTGCTGATAAATACTCTGGGACAAAGAAAATTTCTGTGACCAAGGATGGCTTCTCCCTGGAAACACGTTCTGTTTCTGTCAGTCCTCGGGTGTCTTTCAGGTAAAACACTCCACCAGCTACTTGATTTTCTAAGCATAATAGAATTTAACAATGCTTCCATTACAAAATATTTTCTAGTTTGTGTTTAAATTTATTTCAGTATTGACAGTTTCTAACAAAAAGTAGACCAAACAACCATTCTGCCTCTCTTAGCATTGTAAATAGGCAGGCACAAGTGAGTCAAATAAAGTACATTCCAAGTACAGTACATTGGCTTGTGAGCACAATCCATTCCAGAGACGTGCTTGTACTCTAGAGCACTTATGTGTTAGAGCAATTTTCCCCATGCGAAGTAATGGAAACTCAGACGATTCATTTCATTCCACAACCCAAAAGTATTCATAAATATGATTAAAATACTGTGCCATAATGCCAAATAATAAAGAAAACACAAATATAAAGAAAAATAAGCAAATTAGCCGTGCTTACCTTTGAGAATCCGCCCGGCTGGTGCGAAGGAGCTGAAAAGGGGATTGATGTGCAGGGCGACTTCCAGCACCATGAAAGGAGTCCCTGCTGTCTCCTGGCGTGGAGCAACTTTCTTCTTGTCATGCCACTCTAACAAGGAATTTACCTGGTGACACTTGTCTTGCCTCCTTTTGGGGATTTCCTGGAAACGTGACATTGCATTTTTTGTTAAACAGATTGATGGATAGCACTGCTGCAGCCTTCTAAGGAGGTGCTTTTCTTTCTTTTAAAAGAATTGTATTGGTACATTTTTCATACACATAATGACCCATTCATCCGAGGGAGTGTGTACCTGCACGTGGTGTATCTTGATGCTTCTTTTATCCCCAGCCCCCTCCCCTCCCTTCAACCCCTCTTCCCCTCCTTATTTACAAAGCTGTGTTTCCACTTTTTCTTTGCTTTTCTGTCCTTTCTTTCCTTTCACCCTCCCCTTTCATTAGTTCCCTTTTGTATTTGAACATTTTCTTCCTGTTTCACAATATCTGTTATATATTTAGGTCATTATTTACCATTTTGGTTTCTCTCACCTGAGACATCATGTGATATTTGAACACGTGTGTCCGATTTATTTCACTTAAGCATATAGCCTCAAGTTGCATCCATTTACCTAGAAATATCTCAAGTTTACCCTTCTTTATGTCAGAATAATAGTCCATTGTATAAAATAACCACGTCTGTGCTAAATATTATTTCAATTATGACCTAAGAAAAATAATCCATATCTAAAAATCACGACTAGGTACGCAATATTTTCTGGTCCATCACATGTCTTTTGGATGTAGGAAATACGCATTTTCAACTTCTCTTTTGTTTATCCAATAAGAAATCTAGAAATATGTTAATGTTTATTTAAAGTACTCTATAGATTTGAGGAACAAGGAATTAGGTAGGTTTAAAGAGGATTTTCAGTCCTTTTCTTTTTCATTTCTCCTTCAGACTACTTGTTTGATTTTTGAGTGTCGTAATACCTGGGTCTGTGAAATCAGTTATTTTTTACCTGTGAACTGCATGTCACCAAACAGCTCACTGTCCATGTCAGTGCTTTATGAAGTCCAGTCAGGAGCTCTGCTTCAGTTGTTATTCAAGTTTTTATTATTACTTAAAATCATTTTATATATTTTGCTATTTTTATATGATTTGCTGTATTCTATTGGATATATTTATGTATACTTTTATTTTCCAGGATAAATGATGAACTGAAAACCTTCATGTCTACTTTTAAGATGATTAACTTTTATGTAATGATGACACATATTAACGCGCAGACTCTAGATCAGGTGTAAGAAAACCAACGTGTGATGTAGTTATGAAGGCAGATTTCTGAACTACCACTTTTGACAACTTTAATCATTACCTGAGATACCTTTAGGGCCAAATTATCTAGCATTTGCATGATTTATTTTAAATTATTCTTTTGGTAAACTGGCCTTTATATAACAAAATGAGTAATCATTGTTTTTTCATGTAAATATTATAAGATTACTATAATCACGCCTCACAAAGTTTTTTCTATTTATGCAGTTTAAATTATATAGTTTGTCATCACAAAGTGGGCAGATGGTTAAAGATAGATTTTGAATAGTATAGAGACAGTGATAGAGGTAGGATATGTTAGAAATTTTCAAATTTCCTTAAATCTCTGTGCAGGATTTCTTACCAAAATTTAGAGTGAGGATCTTGAATTTGCTCAAATTGAGGAATTTTAGGGTCAGAAGTAACCTTAGCCATCATCTGATCCTTTTTCCCTAGTGCAAGATATTTCTTAGAATGAAGTAATCACTACCATGCAGTAAGCGCGGCTAGATACCTTTTTTGTTTCGTTTTTTTTTTTTGTTGTTGTTGTTTGTTTTGTTTTGTTTGTTTGGTACCGGGAATCAAACTCAGGAACTCGCATTTGCCAGGCAGGTGCTTGTGCCACTGAGCTATATCTCCGGCCCCAGATACCTTTTTTATCATGTTGGCCTGAAATAGCTTCTAACAGTCTCGTTTCTGAGATATCGTTAGGAGCAGCACACCTATTCTGCTCGCTCTTCCTGGAACAGTCTTCTCAAACAGCTGAGCACACACACATCGTCGTGTCTACATCGCCTTTTCCCCAGAGCACACATCTGCTTCCATCATCATTTCCCAGGGGACTCAGATCGATGTCCCGCTCCCTTTCCCCGGCCGCAGCAGGTGCCCCGCGCTCTCCTGCAGATGTGTCTGACACCAGCAGAGTTAAGCCCCCGCCTCCCCCGCAGCCTGTGCTCCAGACGGTGTTCCCCAGTAATGGTTCTAGAAGCCAGTTTTCCTGCTATCGAGTTAGAGCAACCTCTGATACCTTTTTCCACTTAAAAATTTTGTCTTTGGTTTTTATGTATTTTGTATGTCATCCTCATTTGTTCTCTCCTGAAAAATGACCCTCACTGGAGCCGTTTTCTACAGAGACGCAGTAATACTGCTACTGTCACAGAGGGGGCAAAGCAGAAACTCACCTGGCTTCAATTATTTTATTCCCACATTTATTATGCTCCTCACAGCAAGAATGAACAGTGTAATAGTTTATTGAACCTTGGTTCTAAGCTCTATCTCCTTTTAAATTAAAAAAAAATTATTCACTTTTTAAACGATAAGGAAATGACTGTAGTTTTACAAAACCCATCAATTTTTGAAATGCTTAGCATAATTATTTAAATGATGGGTAAAACCTTTTTATCTAATAATTTATTGTCATAGCATTGATGAAAGTCTTCCATTTATAACCCTGACATCACTGTTGTCCCTGAATATATTTATAAAAAAAGTTCATGAAACACTATGAGATAATTTACATTCTCCAGGTAGTAATGTTTACAATATTTTAAATTCTTTACAATTGTATTAATTATTAGAAATTAGAACATTCTTTTCTCATATTTAACGTTATGTTTTCAATAACTTTTCTGTTAGTACTAAACACCTTTAAAATAAAGAAAAGATCTGCCTGAGGGTAGCCTTAACTGGGGCACTGCTAGATGTGGCAGGAGTGAGGGTTGGGTCAGCTTTGTTGTTTTATTTTATCTTAAAGGCAAAGCTTATTACTTCATAAAGCAGGACAAGATATTCTGGAATCAAATTTATTTTTAAAAGTAGGGATACTTTTATCTCCTCCATCCTGAGAAATTACATTCTTCACTAAATTTAAATCTCTTCGAATTTAAAAAATAAGAGATTGTGGAGTTCAAATGTGAATTTGTGCAAGAAAATATGGTTTGTTCCTGGTAGGGACGAGGCGTGGCTGGCGGTGGGTGGCAGTACAAGGAGAGGACTGCCTCCTGGATGCATCCACACGTGAGGTTTGGTGTTAGCGAGGGACTCATCTGGTTGGAGAGACGACCTTCCTGCAAGACTACAGAGGCACCTGTGGTTCCTTTGCTCCACATTTCCTTCAGATGCTTCTGACGTGACTGTATTGATTTAAAAACAACAACAGCAACAAAACTCTCTTTGCTTTGACCTTCTTCGCCTCAGTTGGGATAAATCCATTTTATTGAAAAGGTGACAGTTTGTTCTTTCTGCCACGTTGATGATTTACTGTTAAACAGCCAGTGTCTGTCGTTGGTAAGCTTATACAAATACTCTCTTTGGCGACAGTGTGGTAAGTAGCATAGAACTTTATCATTGCCAGTTAGCGCTGCCTAAGAGCTTACAAAGGAGAATGAAAACAGAGGCATTACAGCAAGCAGGTGCCTGATAATATTAATTCTGACTGGTTTGTTGCGCTTGAGAAAGAGAAATTCATCGTGGCGGCTCCACCATCATTTTTAAATTATACTTCTGCACATTGTATTTTACCCCTGGGAAGTCACAGTGGCATCTACTCCAGTGTGGGAATCCAAGTTCACTCTTATCAGCTGCGTTCTGGTGGTATTAGACATGTAATTAATGAGAAAACAATTTAATTTTTCCTTGTCATTGGGACAGGAGGCAGGAGTGAGGCTTGGGTCACCTGAATTAGTCAGCTTTGTTGTTTTTATCTTAAAGGCAAAGAAAATACTAGAAGGTACCTGTAATTGTCAGCAATTCCTGGAGTGATACAAAATTAAATCCCCAAGAGCCAGTTCAGGATCCTGGAGGAAGGACTGAAATGTGTCTGAGTGTATTGGAGATAAAGAGGAAATTAACTAACTTATTAGGTCAGCTAAATGTTGTATCTCTTACATTAAAAATATTTATTGTCAAATACTTCCCACTTGCGTATTGCCTAAGGAATAAGCACTGTATAGCAAAGGGTTTTGCAGTCTAGAAAGGCTATGAAAGTTGTCTCGTGTTACTTAAACTGAACAGACTTTCTAGAGTCATTGTCAATAATGATATAACTGTATTGATAGTTTTATTATTCACCGTGAATGTCTGGAGAATTGCTCCTAAGCAGTCATCGGAGTAATTTGTCAGCAAGATAAAGCTTTTATTCTGTATCTTCTTGATTTGAATTTAAAATGGATAGAAAATGACATGCATGGGGCACCGAAGCAAACTGACAAAATCGAAATGCAGAACAAATATGGGGGGAA